CCCCCAGCGAGACCCCATCACCCGGTTCCCCAGCACTGACCTCCCTCCCTGCGCACTCCCATCTCTCCTGGGGTAGCGGGGAGGCAGCCTCCCTCCAGCCGAGGCCATCCTTCGCCCCAGCTTCTCTTTCCTCCCGGCCCCCGTTCCTCTGCCATCCTTGGGACAGTATCTAAGACTTCTTAACCTTGGGCTTCCGAATCGGACGTCTTCCTCTTTGCCCTGAATCTGGCCTCTTCCTCTCTCGCCCCACTGACACGGTCTCCCCCCGCCCCGCCCCGTACATATCTCTTCCTTTTATTTTTCCAGCTCTTCCCTGCCTCAGCCCCCTCCCCCTTTCCCTGTGCCCTCACCTCCACTCCTCTCTCGTGTCCCACCTCCCCTCTCCACTTCCTCTCCCCCGAGCCTCGCTCACCAGCCTCTCCTTCCTGTCTTCTGTCCCCAGTGCTCCACAGCCTCACCCCCAGGCAAGCATGGCCACCATCCCAGACTGGAAGCTCCAGCTGCTAGCCCGGCGCCGGCAGGAGGAGGCAGCGGTGCGTGGCCGGGAGCAGGCCGAGCGAGAGCGCCTGTCCCAGATGCCAGCCTGGAAGCGGGGGCTCCTGGAGCGCCGCAAGGCCAAACACGGGCTGTCCCCTGGGGAGCAGGGCCCTGTGCCAGGGACTGTGGAGACTGGGCCTCCAGACCCGGACGAGTCAGCTGTCCTCCTGGAAGCCATCGGGCCAGTGCGCCAGAATCGATTCATCCGGCTGGAGCGGCAACAGCAGCAGCAGCAGCTGAGGAACGAAGAGCTGCTTGCTGAGAGAAGGCCTGGGCCGCTGGAGGTTCGGGAGGGCAGACCCAGCCCCTGGCAGACTCCGGATCAGAGCCCCAAGGGACCAGAGCCCAGGGATGAGAGGCTTAGTCCTCCCGAGGCCACCGAGAAGAGGCTGGGGGGAGGGGGAGCCTGGGAGGCTAGCCCCAGGCCTTTAGAGCCCCGAGACTGGAGGCCGGGTCCTGAAGAGGCTGGAGGCCCGAGCTGCAGACCTGCAGAGGCGCGGACATGGAGGTTCAGCCCTGGAGAGACTCCAGAACACGGTCTCAGGAGGACAGAGGTGGTGGAAAGTAAACTGAGCCCAAGGGAGTCTGGCAACCAGAAGCCGGGCCTGACGGAGCCCTGTAAATGGAGGCTTGACTGTGGAGAGGCCCTGGAGCAGAGTTCACAATGGAGGCCACGCTCAGGAGAGGACAGCAAAGACGTCTCAAAGGAACCTGGGACAAATGAAGACAGGCCCATTCGCAGGCCAGCCTCGGAAGACACTGCGGGGCTGCCAGAGACCCCATGGCGGGAGGCTCCAGAAAGTGGCCCTGGACAGGTGGAGGCAGCAGAGCAGGAGCAGGAGGCTGGCCTGGTGGAGGATGGTGATCTGGCCTTGAAGCCGACAGGAGGGTGGAAATGGACCCTGAACTCGGGGAAGGTTCGAGAGCGGACCCCCATGGACATAGAGATTCAAACTCAGAAACCAGAACCTTCTGAGTTGGCTGAGAAGCGGCTGGGGGCTCCTGAGGTAGAGCCTGGAGAAGGGGAGCCTGAGGAAGAGGAGGTGGGGGCTCAGAGCAGGCCTCTGAGCACCCTGCAGAACCACTGCTCTGGGCCCTCCCCCCTCCCCCCGGAGGACGCTGGGACCGGAGGCCCTGGGCTGCAGGAAGAGGAAGCAGTGGAACCCAGGCCCTCACCATCAGTGCCTCTGTCTCCCCCACCCCCTGCCCCACCTGTCCCCCAGGCCTCTGGGGATCCCCTCATGAACCGCCTGTTCTATGGGGTGAAATCAGGGGTGGGGGGGCCCCGCCGCAGCGGACACACCTTCACGGTCAACCCCCGGCGGTCTGCGCCCCCTGCAGCCCCGGCCACTCCGGCAGGCCCTGCCACGGCTGATGCTGCAGCTCCTGGGGCTGGGAAGAAGCGGTACCCGACTGCCGAAGAGATCTTGGTTCTGGGGGGCTACCTCCGCCTCAGCCGCAGCTGCCTTGTCAAGGGGTCCCCAGAAAGACACCACAAACAGGTAGGGGCTCAGCCAAGCCAGACTTCTCGGGAGCCTGCTCGCTGGTTCTCTCTGGATGTCAGTCTTTATTTTTATACCCCTATATTGACCGATTCTATTCTTTCTTGCTAATTCCAGCCCCCACCCTTCCTCTGCCTGCACCCACACCCAGTCTCCCCTGCCCTCCCGTGCCATTCATTTCGGCTGTCTCTGGGTGCGTCTCCCAGGGCGTGCCGGGCTACGGTTCCACCCATCCCCTTGGGGCTCTGAGTTCTTCTTCTCTCAGCTTCCTCTGCTTCCCTCAGGATCGGGGACCCAGCCTAGTCCACCTGGTGGGCGCCAAGAGCTGAGGCTGACAACCCTGGATCTATTATTTGCAGAGGCACCAGACTTTCCTAGGGGACAGAATGTCGGGGGAGGCCAAGGGAGTGGGTTATGGGTTCTAGGGAGAAATGGCAGGCAGGGAGGTTCAGATGGAAGGAAGTTCTCCTCGCCCCAAGGAAGAGGGAGAGTGGAGCTGAGAGGAGGCACCCAAGGGCAGAAGAGGGAGGAATGAGACAAGGAGGGCCAGACTCAGAGAGAAGGCCTTTGAACCCCAAGTCTGCCCCCTGGGAGAGGCACACAGAGGCCTTTTGAAGGGGGTGACCTCAGGGTTATTCCCCCTACACCCCCCCACCCCCCGGCCAAGCTGGGTCACCACTTTAGACAGTGCTCTCTTCTCTCTTGGGACAAGAAAACCCTTCTCTTCCAAAATCCCCTCACCCCACACACCCCGTCCTTCCGCTCTTGGGTTCCCCTCCTCTGCAAACTGGCTCAGAGTTGGTTTTCCCCTTTCTCCCTGCCACCTAGCCTCCCCTTGAGGTAGAAAAAGAGAAGTGAATTTGGAGATGCCGGGATACAAGCCAGCAAAGGTGGGGATTGCTGGGGGAGTCCTGGACAGGGATAAAGGCTGAGGCCAGCAGAGGAATAGGACTTATGGGAAAATGGGAGTGGCCAGGCTGACTTCTCCCCCTGGCCCTGGCCCAACTTCTTCCAGACACACCAGCCAGTCCCCAGCTTGCAAATCTCTCGGGGAAGAGAGGTCCCCGGCTCAGACATGTCAGGCTCCGATGTCTGCAGCTGACCCTACAGCAGGAAGGGGAAGTGGTAGCACTCAGTGCCACCAGCATCCCTCTGCGCCCACCCCACCCCCCAAGCCATCTGACCCTCAGAACCCTGGGGAGCCCCTCAGGAGTCACCCACCCCAGAGACCGGGAACCCCCCACCCCACCCCACCCCTGCCTCCAGTCCTCATCCTTGTCTGACAAACAACATCCTAGGATACGCTGTTCACATTCTCAGGGTCTCTGGAACATGGACCCACGATCTGGGCTAAGCTTGGTCACCTGGTCTCAGATTCATCTTCCCCTCCCAGTTGGGCTCTCAGCCTTGTACATGCTCCAGAGCGCTCTGACTGCTACAACCTTACCCTTAGGGCTGAGCACATGCCAAGGGGGTGACCAGGAGACTCCCCCAGGGGTAGGTGCTCAGAAAGGTCACCTCCTCCTGAGCTCTGCCCTCGTGCACTGTCAAGAGGAAGAGACAGGAGGCGTTGGGCCTCAAAGCATGGCGTCTATTCCACATTCCACAGGAGCCAGGAGCCTGGTGTGCAGCAGGACCAGGGATGTTGACTGGGAGTGGGGGACCGCCGGAAGTGGATCGGCCAAACAGGAAGCCTGGGGTGGGGCCGGAAGGCTGGTGGGGAAGGCTGGGCCTGGGGCCTGCCAGAACAGAGCTCAGGATGTGGTGAGAGAAGAAGGAAGCAGCTGCCTGGGGGTGGGGGTGAGAAGCTCGCCGTTTCCTAGACTGAAGCGCCTCACCTTTCACCCTCTCTCAGGCCTCTCTCCTCTCAGCTTCCTGCTCATCAGGACTAGTGGGCTCTGGCCCAGTGCCACCCCAGTCCACTGCCTCAGGGGTACAAAGGCATCCCACCCTCCCTCCTGCCTTCCCTAAATATAACTCCTGCTGCAGACTAATTCCATCAAACTGATCCCTGCCACTCCAGCTATCTCTGGCTAAGAGGGCAGCCCTTCCCATCCCCAGCCCCCTTGTGCCCTTATATAGCTGATGGGAGCAGAGCAAGTGAGTCATCTCTGCCCACTCCCAGGCAAGCGGTACATTCCTGAGAAGCCCAGTCAGAAGTGGGGGGGACGAAGGAAGGGGAGGGAGAGACAGTCATGGACTGCGAGCAAGTGAAAGGCCTCTTTCTTCCCCAGTGGGTAACAAAGGATGGAGATTGTTATCTCGAAGCCAAGCCCCGATCATGAAGTTCCTTCCGACTCATGGCAGCTGGTGGGTGGCACAGCAGTGCTGCCCCATGGGCACAGGAAGTCAGGCTGCTCTTCCAGGATGTCCCTGGGTGGGTTCAGACCGCTAACCTTCAGGACAGCAGCCTGACCCACCCCCGGGTCTGTATTCGCCAACAAGGGGGCATGGGAAGAAAACAGAATCGGGGTCCCAAACGTGTGGGCAAGTCGGACAGTAACAGAAGCAAAGCAAACGCCCTGTCGCTGCCTATTCCACAACCCTATAGGAAGCACTGCCCGCTGAGTTTCTGAGAGTGTAACTCTTTACAGGAGTAGAAAGCCCCATCTCCCTCTGAGAGGATGGTGGTTTAAAACTGCTGACCCCACCAGGGCTCTCAGTAGCAACAGAACTGGAGGGGATCTTTTTCAAGAAACTGGGACATAAGGGGCCGGGTGGCTGTCGCTTGAATCGCCCAGCAAGTTGACCAAATTGGACTGGGGGTTGACTGTACAAACATGGTCTCCCCAGTCAACCCTTATCATCCTGCCGTAGCAACACCCAAGCTTCTATTGATTCGTTCTGCAAACAGTGATGGAGCACCTACTGTGTGCAGAGCCCTTTTTCACATGTCTTCCACAAAACAGAAGGATGCCGGCCAGGCCTCTGGTGGCTGGAGGAATTCTTTAGAAGGAAGTGATTAGGAAAGAAACAGAGCCTACAAGGGCCTGGGCGGTGGGAGGCAGCAGTGGGGGAGATAAATAAGTCAACTAACTTTGTAATGGACCTACTAGGAGAGAAGGATCCATGGGGGTATCGGGGGCAGTGTACTTCAGGCACCAGGAGGAGGCAGTGCAAAGGCCCTGTGGGAGGGGTGCGCCCTGGGTTTGGAGGAGGGAGGAGCCAGTGGCACGTTGGTCAGCACCCAAGGCCAGGGGCCAGGGGCCTTTTTCTCTGAGCTGGGAAAACTGGGATGGGTTTGAAGTCAGAGTGACCTGTCTCTGAGCTCCTGCTGGACCCAGGGACCCAGATGGCCCTTCCACAGAGCCCAGAACAAACCACCTGTCCAGCCGCCCTCCGGGTGCCATTCTTCTCACACCCCAGCCTTTGTGGGGGCTCTGGAGTGCAGCCCCCACCCCCACCCCCGCCCCCTGATCTTCCCAAAGGGACTCCAGGGAAGGCCAGAGTGGATCATCCAAGTAGTTCAAGTGGAATCTTTGCGTTCCTTTCCCTAATCCTTTGCCTACCCGAGTTAATCTCCCATCCCTACCCATCACCCTGAGCTTCTTAGGAGGTCTAGGGGAAGGAGAGCCAGCCTGAGCAGCTGGGCCTCAGCCTGCCCGAGGGGTGGTTTCTGCAGAGGACTCTGTCGCTGCCTGTGTGGACCCTCAACTCGCCACCTGCACCTTTTAGGGCCTTGGGGCTCATCTGCTCCCTGCTGTCTGCCGTCACTGGGTACCTCTGGGACTTACAGTTATCTCCTGTCCCCCTTGGCCTGTTCTTTGCTCCAAGCCTCGTTCCCACGGTGGAGAGGAATGGGGGACAGGTGACTGAGGTTCTGGGATTCCCAAGGGTGGAGAAAGCAATGTGCCAGGTCTCCTTTTTCCTGGGATGCAAGCTGCGGCCACCCGCCCAGATTCCCTCCCCACACAGTTGCACACCTAACCTCTTTCCTCCCCTTGTGAGTGTGGGGAGGAGAGGAGGGTCCCCTACAAATCATCACAGGTCCGGTAGGCGCAATTGTACAGCGATAATAAGATTATAGTAAAGTCATCGAGAGCATGAGTAATAGAGGAGAGATTGAATTATTGGAGTCAGACACAATTCATGGTAGCATGCTCACCTCAGCCCAGCTTGGTGGTCCTCGTAGGGGGAGCCCCGGGAGCGAGAGCAGGAGAGCCCCCAACTTTATTGCTAACCAAGGGTTATATCTCCTTAGGAGGGCATTATTACAGGTAACCACACGTCACAGGAAGGGGCAGTACAATAGGTATACACATTGTAGGAAGGGGATCTATGATAGGCATAAGTGTAACAGGAAGGGGATGAGCTAGGGGTGTGCCCATAGGAATGGCAAGGTCTAGGGGTATACATGTGACAAGATGGGCGGACCCTAGATTCATGATGGTGGCCTAACCTTGGTCATCCTAGGGCAGTTTGACCTCTCTGGCATCTCCTACAAGGAAACAGACAACTACTATCCTTATCAGAAGGGAGTGGGCCCTACTTGTGGGATAAACAGTGGTGACTGCTTGGTCTAGATGGCCGATAATCCTTAGGGAGAATAGCCCTGATCTACTTCTGATGACCTCCAAGTGTATAGTCATTCGCAAGCAGCTAAGTCTGGCATATATTTGGGAGAGACAACTTGGGAGAAATCCTTCTGTTTCCCACATGTAAGCATTTCTGGGACCACCCTGGGCGCCCAGGGACTTTGTTGTGCTCGCAGGATTTATTTCTGCCTGTTTTACTCTCTTTTCCCCCCTCCGCTGCTGCCCACACTCTAAAGTGCAGGGACCCTGGTGCCTGCCGGTTCACTCCTCAGCACAGGCCAGAGTCCGATGGTTTTGAAAGGTTATGATTGAAGCGCAAGGGAAAGTGGAAGGTGGGGTGGCAGGGGAGGGGAGAGTCAGCATGGCGCCCTCCTCCTTCTCTGCCAGCCCCCCCACCCCCCCAACAACAACCCCAGACTCACCCTCTCCAATTCCCATTTCCCATCATGTGGCTTCAGGGACTGACCAGTCTCCTCTCTCTCACCCCCAGCTCAAGATCTCCTTCAGCGAGACAGCCCTGGAGACGATGTACCAGTACCCCTCTGAGAGTTCGGTGCTGGAGGAACTGGGTCCAGAGCCCGAGGCCCCCAGTGCCCCTGGGCCCCCAGCAGCTCAGCCGGACGATGAGGACGAAGAGGAGGAGCTGCTGCTCTTACAGCGGGAGCTCCAGGGCGGCCTTCGGACCAAGGCCCTGATAGTGGGTGAGCAGGGCTCTGCCAATCCAAGGGCTCCCCCTGGTGTTAGGGTGAGGAACTGCAGTCCAGGAGAGAAGAACCAACCCCCGCCACACACACACACACACACACACACACACAAGCTGCTTACACACACACACACACACACACAAGCTGCTTCCAACACATTAAAAACCAAACTCGCTGAGTTCATTCTGACCCAGAGTGACCCTATAGGACAGGGTAGAACTGCCCCTGTGGATTTCAGAGGTGGGAACTCTTTAGGGACCAGCAACCACCACTTTGCCCTATGGAAGGTCTCTGTGTCAGAAAAGGTGGCCTATGGGGAAGTGGATTATGCATCGGGCTGCTAGCCCCCACGTTAGTAGTTCGAACCCACGAGCCACTCCTCAGGAGAAAGATGAGGCTTTTTGCTCTTGTAAAGATTAGCAGCATCAGAAACCCAGAGGGAAAGTTCAGGAGAGATGGGAAGGGTTTCACGTTGCTCCTGGAAGGGGCTCGTTAGGACTTCTAGTCCGACCCCACTTCTTTTATAGGGGAAACTGAGGCATTGGGAAGCAAAGGACACATCAGGCCTCCAGATTCCAAGATTCTTGGGGGGGGGGGCA